AAAATTACACACGTGCTAAAGATTAAGAACCAAATTTATTTTTGTCAAAACTTCAAGAACTAAAACTGCACAGTAACTAGACAAATTAAAATTGAATTTTTTCCTCTCTCTCTTTATTAATATATATACACACACACACACACGCGAGAGTCCTAGTGTTGCAATTGATCCAGTTTGAGATCGAAATGGAGCAAAACTTTAAACTGCAAATCAATTCATTAGTTTGGTCGATTACAAGAATACAGCACGAGATGAGAAGTTTTCCCCATTGAGAACATGGACGGCCAACTTTTACGTGCAGTCAAAAAAGCTGCACGCTACTCATTACCAGGGGAAAACTGCAGCATCGCAAGCAATCTTGGACGACAAGTCATTGTATATTGTTGGCTACATCATTCTTTATTCATTGGACTCGTACCCGTACTCGTACTGTTGTTTATCCTTTCGTCTCTTCTTTCCTGCTGCCTTGAATTTTATTTTTTTTTCAGCATTACATGTTTCCATTGCAAGCTATCAAGCGAATTAACCCCAAACAGGACAAAAATTTCGAACCACCGGGTAAAAACCAGACCAGCAAGTTTAAAGGCAAATTAAAAGTACAGAGCCCCACCATCACAAAATGGTCAATCCGAATCCAGAAACGGATGTTTGGCGGATGTATCCTGGAAACGAAATTCGCATGCTCTGTCATTGCCAGAAACGATCTCGAGTACCTCCTATTACGAATCCATATCAGACCACTGCTACGCCGCCACGTAGCGAGGCAAAGATGCTCCCGGAGGAGTATTTAATCCGTTGGGCGTCGCTTTCAAGTTTCAATAAAGAGGACAATTTCTGGAGCAGACAGGTCGGCGGCTGCCGGCGGGTGGCGGTCTGCTCGGCCCTGGGGTTCGCAGCAGCTGTAGCCTGTTGTCCGCAGGTCCATCTCAGCTGTGTTGGCTTGGAGGTTTACTTTTAACCGGTCCGTCCTCTTTTTTTTTCAACTACGGCGCCTTGGCAGGGGAAAAAAAGTATCTTTTGTACTGGCAGCTATGAGAGTTTTTAATAATGCAGCGTTGGAACTGTGAAGCTCTGCAGAATTTTATCTAAAGAATAATATCTCCCTACTAAGCAGAGTGAGTAGTAAAGAATAGAAAAAGGCCATTGGATATTTCGGCGTAATGATTTGCGGTGGAGTAAAAGGGTTGATCATTGGCTTTGGATTTAGATGGATTCCGACATGTTTGATTCTCTCTATAGATAATTACTCCCCTTTTTTTATAACTGACGTTTAAGAAATTTGCTCTAGTGTACTTTTATCTGTCATTTTATTATCCCCATACAGTATTAATTATTTTTTCACAATTTTACCATTTTATCTCTCTTTTCCAATACAGGGTTCTTAATTAATACTCCTAGTAATTATTGCTTCTCTCTTTATAACAACCCTAGTACAATCTTTTGACGTCTTTTCGGATTTACTATGATGATTATAACTCATAAGATGGAAGGAATAATTTCAGAAACCTCCCATGAAGTTTCTGATAATTTTATTGAACTCTCCTGAAGTCTGAAAAATTACACATACATCCATTGTCATTTAAAATAACAATTTTACCCTTAAATATTTTAATAAAATTTCCTTATTTTGTATACTTATATTTATAATGAGTTTTAAAATTATTTTTTCTTTTTTTCATTTTTTAAAATTTTTCGCCAATAAAACTGTAAAACTACCACTATTGCCTCTAATTTCTATTATAATCAAATGTCAAACTAGTGATTTTTTTGACGAGTTAATTTTATATATAATCCAATGTTTTTATCGATCTTTGTTTTCTATTTTTTGGTATTAAAATTAACAATAAATAAAAAAGAAATGGTCCAAAAGCACTACTAAATTATGATAATCCCATTACTCCAAAAATTCATAAACTCTAAATGAATTATTTCAATGTTTTCTTTTATATCTTATAAATTTAAATCTATAATAAAATACAATAAAAAATATCATATTATAGTAATAAAATTATTATTATAATTGTTTATCAAATAGTAGATATGGATATGAAAATTTTGGCATCTTTTCCTTACAATTATACTAAATAATCTTATAATTGTATAGAAAGATAAATTAAAACTCATTACATAAGGGCATTTTTGGATATTTATTTAAAAAATTGACCAAGTCAATATTATTTTAAGATTTTATTACTAAAACTATTAAATCAAGGGAGACAAGTGTAATTTTCCAAACCTTAGGGGAGCTCAGTGAAATTGTCAGAAACCTCAAGGAGGTTTTCTGAAATTATCCCAAGATGGAAAGCACGTAGGCACAAAGGGATATCAAACAAAGTACACAGAATTAACTGAGTGGATGGATCATTGACCTCAAGGTTTTTGTTACGTTAAGGGTACAAATAATTGAGTGGATTAATGATGGATCACAAGAGCAGATTAACAACCCGGTCAAGAAAATGCTATAATCACGATCATAAACCCCCTGTATAGATGTTCTCCCTGAATTAGAATTCTTCTGTTGTGGAAAGCAAGTGAATGCACATCGCATTTTTGGGGGAAATCACTTGAGTGTGCCATTGTTTTCACTGAAACATGCAAAAAGCTTTTGATGAACTCTCTGTCGAACATACAAATTTAGCAGTACTGCTACTACAAGAAAGTAGGATCGAGAAAGAAAAGCAGGCATCTCCATGCAGGCAGGTAAAAGTAAAACCTAAACCGTGATTCAACGTGTACTGTCGTGTTTACTTTCTGCCTGCTTTACCCTTCCTGTGGCCTCTACTCGAAGCTATGCACCGCAAACAAGAGATGGCAGAGGGGCCTAATGGTCGGGGTTTACAGTAAAGCAAAATCTCTGAAACATTTTTGTCCTCTGATTTTCTCTATCATCTTTCAAGACAGACATGCTCTTTTATTAACATTCCCTCTTCAACTCTCATATGCTACACGCCCTGCCTGCACAAGACAATTACTTCGACCCTCTCCTCAGTCCTCTCTTCTCCAACAACACACCCTCTCCAGTCTCGTCTTCTTGAAAGTTAAAACTTGGAACCCACCCAATTTCTTCTTTACACTCTTCATCACTTCAAACTCCGGCTGAAAACAAAGACCCCAAAGGACTAACCAATGGCACCAAAACTGTCCCCACATACTGTTCTGGCATTCTGCTTCGTTCTGATGCCCAGTTTTGTCGTTTCACAACAACCGCTCAACTCAGCCGAACAAGAAGCCGTATACCAGGTCCTCCATTCCATCAACCCGGAGGTTCCCTGGCGCTCTCTCTTCCCCGACGATTTATGCTCCTCCGCTCCACACGGAGTCGTTTGCGACTTCTTCGATGACAATGCCACCGTTTCTTCACATATCACAGAGCTAAGTTTCGGCTACGTCTCCGACTACTCTCCTAACCCACCATGCACGCCCGACTCAACTCTCAATGCGTCCCTTTTCTCACCCTTCACTCACCTAAGAAAACTCTTTTTCTATAAATGCCTCACTGAAACCAGTGTTCCTTTGCCTGATTTTTCCTCTCTCGGGCCTTCTCTGGAAGAACTTGTGTTCGTTGAAAACCCTTCTCTTCTTGGGTCTCTCAGCGGAAGAATGAGTACCTTAACGAGCTTGAGGAGGCTAGTTCTGACCGGGACAAATGTATCTGGAAACATCCCTGATGGGTTTGGAAATTTGATCAACCTCGAGCAGCTCACGCTGTCGAGAAACAACTTCTCCGGCGAGATTTCTCTAAATTTTCAGAAGTTGAAAAAACTGAAAGTTCTTGATTTGAGTCAAAACAGGCTTCGGGGGAATGTTCCCCGATCATTGGGGAATGGATCGATTGAACTGTTGAAGCTTGACTTGAGCTTTAATGCGTTTTCGGGAAAAATCCCAGATAATTTGAAAAGTTTGAAGAATTTGGAGTTTCTGGATCTGAGTTACAATCGATTTGGCAATTTCGGGCTGCCGTTATTTTTGGGAGAGATGCCCAGCTTGAAGGAAGTGTACTTGAGCGGGAATCTGCTCGGTGGGAGGATCCCGGAGATGTGGGAAAACCTGAGGGGTATTTTGGGAATGGGATTATCCGGCAATGGTCTTGTTGGGAATATTCCAGCTTCGATGGGGGTAAACTTGAGAAACCTGTGTTACCTGGGGCTTGACAATAACAAGCTGGAAGGGACAGTGCCTGAGGAGTTTGGGTTATTGGAATCCGTGAGGGAGCTAAATTTGGAGAACAACTATTTGAGTGGCAAAGTCCCATTTTCTGCGAAGTTTGTGGCTAAAATCGGGGATAAGTTAAAGTTGGACGGCAATCCTGAACTCTGTGCTGACGAGGGGTTGAGGTCTGCTAAAGTTGGCTCTAGCCTGGGAAAATTAAAGCCGTGCAACGAGCCATATATTCCCACATATGCCCTTCTGCATGGGGATTCTCCACACCAGTCTTCTGCATCTTGTCTGTCGATGCTCAGTGGATTTGTGTTTCTACTTTGGTTATACATGGACATACATTTGACTGTCAGCTGAACAAAGACCGTAGTTCCAACAGCACACAAATTATAGCACTAGTGACTTTGTTCATATGAAACTTTTTGGGCTTCAAGTTAGTTTTTTTTTTTTTTTTTCTAAACTTTTTTTTTTGGGGTAATACTACTGTTATTAGTTTTCTTCTACTGCCATGTGATGTGGTCTACATTTCTTAAGATGCAGAATATTGTAATTCGAGGTTTAACTTGAGGTTTAACTTTGGTTATTTCTGCTATTTTGATATGTCTCTATTTTAGCGACCAAAGCTATGGTTGCTTTTCTTGTTATTGATACATTCTCTAATCTTTGAAGTCTGCAGCAGATGAACTGGGATCTTGTATACTATTGGTGATTCTGATCATTTTTAGTGCATCAATGATCATTATCCGCTCTGAGGATGCATGTTTTTGTTGACAAGAACTAATCATTAGGGATCTACCGACTCTGGGCCACGCCATTTTAATCAAAATATAGGGTAGCCGCGTTTAGACTTGCACAGTTACACCACACAGGATGAGGATGATAGCTGCAGATTGTACATGGTCGTTCTATTGGCTTCTGGTGCTATAGCCAAAATGAACTCCAGGGCTTCACAAAATCCAGAACTCTACAACAATTGACATACAACTTTCGTCCATACTATGAATCTATGAATATAAAGGAAAATTTTGTTTAAATTGAGCAACTCTCTAGCTACCAAATCTTAAACCAAAAAGGGACAAAAAAGAATATTCATTATTCCAATTGTCTAAAATATGCCACTACTTTCCTTCTCTCCCTCTTCTATACGAGGTTTCAAATTTGAGGTTTGAGAAAGCTCATCTTTTCTTGAGTTCATAGCCTCCGAGTTATTCCCAGCATCCGAAACAGGAGATGTACATGTGCCAGAAGTGTTGCCCCTGTTTCTTGATCTTACGGAACCAGAGGATCCGCCGCTGATAGATTCCTTTGACTTCTTTCTTCTTGATTTTTTTGGGATGTCTGGAAGGTTTGAGGGAGACTCAGAACCAAGGCCTGAATCCTGGGTCTGCCGGTTTTTAACACTGTCAGATGAGTCCTTTGAGTGATGCTTTCTTGAGTGCCTGGATTTTTCTTTCTTTGGGGAGTCAGATGAATTTTCTGTTGATGATTGGCGTCGAGATGATGATCTTGGCGCTTCAGATTGGTCTTTGGCTGAAGAGCTTTTACCTCGGGCATTCTTTCCATCTATAACCATAAACAAGTGATAAAGGTTCAGAGAAGTGGAACAGAATTGGTGCAGAACATTTCAAAAATTTTTTTTTTTTTTTCAAAAAAGGATCCACTTTTACTCGATTTCGACCTCGCAAATCATTAAAAAAAAAAAATAAAATCTTGGACTGGGATCCCGCAAATCATTTCTGCTTGATCCTTCTGGTTCAAAGATAATAATTCGAGAACATGAACACAAAATTGGGAGCTAATTTTTCGAAGCTGCGACAGTTGCCAGCCCAGTTTTGTAAAATTGAAAATGATTTCAACGAGGAGGGGAACAAATAAAAATACAGGAGAGAGGGAACATGACAGACCTTCAGAAACCCATTTAATTTCCGGGTTCTCTTTGGGGTCTCCAGGAATAGCTAAAGGTGCTGATTGAAATCCGGTTGGTGATTTAAATTCTTTCATCTGCACAACATTACAATTTAGAAGAGGTCATATGAACATTTGTTGAAAGGAATGTACATTACTCTTTGCTTGTATGGCACACATTAATTGGCTGACAAGTTCCTTGGCATTAAACTCCCCACCAAACTTTCCTCCAGTATTCATGTCTTAGAGATCCTAAGTTGATGCTCTGAGGACACAAACAAGATGAAAAGATTCCGAAGTGTAATGCTAAAACATCGGATCCGCCTCTACACTGTACAATAAATATTAACATCTAGGAAAATATTAGGAGCAACAATGGAAATGTTTGCATATCCTCTATCCTTTGGGAGGGAAGAAAAGAAAAGACCAACAAGATTTTGAGAGCCTTAGTTTTTCTACTGCATGATAGGACTTCAATCACCAGACCTGGAAACTCAATAATGGTTTCTCCACATCTAATATCACCAAAATTATGGAAAGGGAATGACAAGAAAGAAGGATATTGATTTGATAGAAATATATTAATACCCAGCTAGGTGAATCAACTGATGGCCCATCCCACCCAATATGAGCAACGTGCTTTACATCTGTGGGGAAACCAATTTGCATATCTGGTTCTTTATCTTCATCTGCATTACAATTATTGAAACCATTTCAGCATTTCATTGCAGCCTTCAATATGAGGGCGATTAAGAAACAGAACTCACCAAAAATCTGGGATATGTATCTAAGGCCCTTGAGCAGGCCTTTCATCTTTGTGGTCATCCCTGCTCTGCTTTATAAATTTAAGAAACAATATGACATTTCCTTTGAATCACAAGGAAAGTCAATGCACTGCCATGGACTCATCAATCCATAGCAAGGCCAGGACCTGAGAGCTTTTCTCTCTCTCTCTCTCTCTCTCTCTCTCTCTCTCTCTAAAGATTGGAAGGAGACAAAAGTTCTACCAATGGCAGGGGAAGAATTTGGTGTTTCAGCAGTTTTGTATATTGCGTGCTTAATGAGGAGTGAATGGTGAGAAAAGCTTAAACTACCCCAAGCAAAATGCTGTTAAAAGCAAATCTCTCGTTGACTCAATGGCAATGCATGCTTCGTTCTAACATCCGCTAATCAAAACCAGACGCTATTCGAAATTGTAGGAGCCACTATCAGACTTCGTTGCAAGTATACATTTAAAACATATCTGAATTTTTTAAAGCTAATTGACATGTACGAGCCATTTGCTAAAAATAAAATAGTTCTAAAAAATATCCTTGCAAAATAAACTACAGCATGTAAGCTCCTATTCTTTGGTCATGGGAAAGCGGACGATATGCCACTAGGCAGACGCTGCTCTCTGAAAGTGGAATTTGCTTTTACCGCAACAAAATTGTTTTGTTTACTACCTTTTTCGGCCAGAAGAGACCTAGTCATCCTCTCCACCAAGCTGGCGTGGCCGCCTGCTCAATTCAACAAATGCATCCCAATAATACAGGGGAAAAAAAAGAATTTCACATGTGACATTACCAAAGTTGATATTTTAAGGTCTGTAATTTGTTTAAGAAAATGAAATCAAGAAATAAACTCGCTAGTAGCCAAAAACTGGGTTGACATTGAAAGGATGAATTTGTCATGTTCAAATATAATTACTCTACTACTAAAAATACAAGCGTGGTATCACTAGCCACCGAATTTTGCTTCCGAAACATTAACTCTCTCTGGAGATTTTAGACGCTCGCAATTTGGGCTGTCCAAAAGTAAGGATAAACAGGAACTTGGAAGCAAAACTTTCCCGCAAGGATGATGACTGGAAAGATAGTGTCCCAAACTCAAAGTTTCCAAGTCGTGTAAACCTAATTATGTTCTTTGAACACATTCTGAAGCTTGGACCTATAATTGTTGTTCCGGCAATTATAAAAGGACCACGTAAACGACTCTATTAATCATTAAACATGAATCACTTTTACTTGTGCTGATAGCAATCCAAATTCAAATATCAAGTACTGATAGATATCGAATCAACAAAACTCTCTAAAAGTACAAGACAAGTAAGAGGTGGAATCCATATTTGTTCTCATAAAAAGCAACTCTCGTGCTCATCAAGTCAGCATCGGGAATGAAGTAATAGGTTCGCAAACTCTGAACTCGAGAACACTTCTAAATAACATCAACATCAACCATCCAACTTCAGTTCATCCAGGCATTTTAAGATGCTTTCAGTTCATCCAATCCGACACTAGCCTGACATAAAATAAACGATACATCAGTTCTTTCCTATCCTTGTAAAATCTGAAATATTTCAGTTGCCATATTCAAGACAACAGCTAACTACCAACAAAAAATGGGAAAAAAAATAAGAAGAAAACTTTTTGCTCAAGGGTTCTTACCAAGAACTTGTGGTTCTCTTCCAGAAGTGGTGGAAAAGTAGTGCAGAATTTTTCGATGTCAGCATTAATATCACCTTTGCCACCTATTACATCCATAAATTTGTTCCTATCTGGAGCAAGCTTCATGGCAATCTGCATTTTAATACCTATGTGTTAAATCATACTAGGTACAAACCATGGCAAAGATCTAAATGCAAATATTAAGGTGCATACCGTAAAACTGGAACTTGCTAGCCACCCATGCCACTTTTTCAATGTTTTGCTGTAGGAATCAGTGCAAGCTTGTGACATGGTCCAATCTGGGTGGTCCACTAAATTGCGGAACAATTCCACCAAGAAATCCATGGCCCTAGAGAATAAGTCAATAATTTAAGTTCAACATGACAAGACATAGTTGCATAAGAACAGACATGCTTTACACGCAAATATCATGAGTTCATGAATACAAGTGAGACTGACACCGAGAGAACTTCTTTAGCTTACATTTAATTTAGAGCAAATAGAAAATTCAAAATTTACAACTGTATGAATCACTAGTTTTACCTTGTCAACCAAAGAAGACCATTAGTACAGCTGGATGAGGATTTTGCAGTCTTAGCTTCAATCTCAACTTGTACCATGCTGTACAAGTGATTGAATTGTGCTGGATCAGACAAATATTTGTTTTCTAACCTCTACACATAAGGAATAACAGAAGTCAGACAATATCCTGGTCCCTGGAAATGAACAATAGTTATGCATTGCTCTTCACATAGTCATTATCAAGGAAATACTTAAACATATTTTGAACAGAATAAAGTTTGAAATATAGATAGAATATGCCATGGCCAATATTTGTCCATTTTAGCAATTCTTTTTCTCAACAACTGCAACATGAGGGAAAACAGCTCAACTACACAAAGTCTCAAGGGAAAGCTATCCTGCATCCAAGCCTCTTAAGAGTGATATTAGGAGAACTGACCACATTTCAGTAAAAAAAAATAATCTCCAGGTTTTTCAAAATTTTACTGCGAATTAGAAATCCAGACCAACATGCTTATTATCCAATTGGAACAAATTTCCATGACAATGATGGCTGCAAAGTTGGACAAGTTTCAAGAAATTAGAATGATGAACATTCACTTAACAACTAAAACAGAAAGTCTAACCGTTATATTTCCACCAATATCAGACTTGACAAGTGCCATAGCAGCTCCAAACTTGTCTGGCCATTACAAAGAAACAAAACTATGTTGTCAAGATCCTGAAAAAGTAATCTCATTGACAAGCAAAATGACACAATAAGGCAACCGACATTCATTTCTGAAAAATAGAAACTCCAGTAGTCTTTGTCACATTTAAATTTCACGTAAAGCTCAATTACAGAAAGAAAAACGGTTCACAGCAATTTTCAAATCAAACCTCATCGTGAAAAGAATCTCAAGTACCAAGAGACCAATAGCTACCGGCCAAGTAAAGAGTATCAATCCATACTTTTGCAAAATAGTACCACTCAATGACATGTCGATGCGACATTGTGGATATAACATGAAAACATGTAAGTATTTGGGAAAAGAAACGCAACAATGAGTAAAAAGGCAACGATAGGTATCTAAGTGGAAAGTAAAAGTACCTATAACAGGTAGAATTTGTTTGCAAACTTCTAAGAAAGGCTTGGTAAGCATATCTCCTTGTTCAGACTTGACATGCTTCATTCCTTCTAAAGCAGGGGCAAAAACTGTCTCTGCCATTCTCACCGTCGCCGCTCAACTCTGCATCAAACATGTTCGCTCGCTCACATTAATAGTAAGTCTTACAATTCACCACACAAACACAATTACTGCATATATACATACATACACATATATATAACCGAAATTTGATCAAACTTATAACTTTTCAATACGCAAAAAATAAGAAAGAAAGAGTCATTTACTCCCACGAGAAGATCAATTCAAGTCCAAATTAAGAAATTAAGAGATCATCGTGACCGTGAACTGACAATAATATTTTGATGAAATTAACGGAAAACAAAGCTTCAAAGTCAAGTCAAGTCAAGCCGATAAATCACAGCACAGAGTGTACTGAGATCGTCTCGACCAGTGAAATCGCGCCATGTTTTCACAACCAAAGCAGCTACTGAAACAAATGTGTAGTAAAACGAAATCCAGTGGTAACGCCCGGAGTTGAAGCTAAACACCATAACTGAAGATCGCAGGCAAAAAAAAAAAAGGAAAAAGAAAAGAATAAAGGACAAATGCTTAGATAGAGATCTAGACGCGCCTAAGCTTGGAGAGAATGTTGGTTGCGTGAGTATGCGAAAGCGTATTCAGAGAGGAGTAGATCGGGAGAGAATGCGATAGGGAAAGAGGAGCGAAGCCTACACCTTTTATACCTCAGTGACTCAGTCACCAGTCACCGCCTACTGGTTTCTGATTTTGAGATTTCTTTTCTTTTCCTTTCGGGTTTGCTTTTGGAAAACGCTGATGTTGCAAACGCGTAACTAACAGAAATAAGATGACGGAAATTTTTTTATTTTTTTTTTTACGCCACTAATGGGAGTGCATCTGATTCTCGTAAAAAAATCTTTCAGGAGCTAAAAAAAAAAAAACAAAAAAAAGGGTAAATCTTGATCTCACAAACGGAGTCGTTTCGGCGGTCCTTTCGTTCCAATGTGGTGCGACTAGGGATGGCAACGGGGCGGGGGACCCCTCCCCCGCCTCCAGGTCCCCCCGCCCCGGCCCAGCCCCGCCTTGCTCCGCTTCTCCCGCGGGGTTAATAAAATTTTATTATATAATTTTATTATTATTAAATTTTAATAAATAATCAAGTACTAAAATATCAACACATCACCAAATTATTATTCATTGTAATTTTACAATTGAAACTTATAAAAACAATCAAACAGAAGTTATTTGAATACAATCCAATATGATGAAATAAATATAACTAAAATAGTCAAGTTTTCACTTTTAGTACAAATGCAATCACTAATTCATTATTGTGTTTGTGCTTTTTTTTGAGAAAAAAGTGTTATTCTATTAAGTGTAATTAGAAATTTAGTATAAATGTATTAGTAAATTTAGTATAACTAATTAATAAATTCTATTAGTAGACATGTATAATTATTAATATAATTGATAATATCAATTATATTACATAAACTAATATACATTATATAATATATATAACTAATAATATCATTATCATAAGTTTATAACTAATTAACTTACATATTATACATAATTATTTTTTTTTTTTGCGGGTGGCGGGGCGGGGGATGGGGGGGGGTATACTCCCCCGCCCCCCGCCCCGTTTCTAAGCGGGGGGAAAAAATTTCCTCCCCGTCCCCGCCCCAACCCCCGCCCCGAGACCCCCCCCCGCGGGCACCCGCCCCCATTGCCATCCCTAGGTGCGACCTCCCTCTTCCCTCGAGGTGACGGCACGATGCAAGACAAATTTTTTTTTATCCTTTAATTATAAGAAAAAGTTTTGCATTCAAAATCTCTAATGTATTATTTAATTCATTTCTCTCCCACAACACAAAGACCCTTTAATTGGCAATAAATTACTATCCAAATAATTAATAATTATAATGACACAAAAATAGATAGTTTCCATTTTCGATGTCTTCTCCAACCTAAGATTCGTAATCCAATTTAAAGCTGATATTCGAAATGTGGAGGCGGGAACTGGGATAAATGATAAGTTAGAGGAATAATATTAAGCACAATGATTTAAATTAAAACGATAGATTAGGCACTGCTATACTCATTATAAGAGTACAGGAATCTCTAATTAAAATCATATTTTAATGCAACTTTTAACACACTTTGAGATATTGCGTTCTCAGCCAGTATTAGACAGTATGTATAACCAAACATTGTTTAGATGTTTTAGGAAGAGCTAAAATATCAAAGCCAAGCATTTATTTTAGGATTTTTTGAGATAATTATTCCAATTAGATTCTGTGAAGCAAATTCTACGGAACTTGCGTACTGAAAACAAATGGATTACCGCGTCCATAATCACATTATAAAGTTAAACCAATAGCTAATTTAACGGGCAAAGAACCCATTAAAATTTGGGCCAGGCTTAAGACCTTCCCAGCGTAAAAAAAACATCTATTTGCTTCTGCGTGCAACAGCCCTTCGGCCCAATCCCACAAATTTCCAAACAAAAAAGAACGGAAGCTTAAACAGAATGCGATTACGTTAAAAGTAAATTTTATATACACTATTACTATATATATTATCATGATGAATGACATTTAAGTATATTTTAAAATTTAAATTCAAATTTTGCACATATATTATACATTTAATGGTGATAGATAAACGACACATAAGTAAATTTTGAATTTCAAATTTAAAATTTGCATATATATCATATATTTAATTGTGATAGTGTATACACTGACAGTAGTGTATATAAGATTAATCCTTACGTTAAGAAAAATTAAATCCGCACAAAAATCCGATTTCATGTGCTTATTACATGTAAGTTCAACATATCTTAGATCACAAAAGGATGCAATGAGGAATCACAATTCTTAGAATACTCCTAAACCATCGGCTGCTATCGAGTAGTACTCGCATATCTCACTGTTACGCTTGTTGTAGGATATAGCCGACTGCCGGAAGAAGGAAAAAAAAAAAAACCATTGGATTTAAGCCAGAATACTATACACTCAATGTTGTTATACAGGCAAGACAGCCTCGAAAGAATCGGGTATAGAAGAACCCCCAGACCAAAAATAGACCAGAAAAATAGAAAAAAAATTGGAAATATGGAATGGAGCTCACTCGTGAAACATTCCCGCTGCAGCCGAATGCAACTATGATTTCTTGGCCTGCATGAATGATGATGAGCAGCACTAAGGTATCCACAACAAATGCAGCCACCAAGAGCAGCTGATAAAACTCTTGTTATTATGAAGTTTACCTTACTCAAATACTTCTTATGAATTTTCAAGGCCCCCTTTACCGCCTTCTTTACATCCATATTCCCAGTTAGTTCACCCAAAATCTAGACAGAGATCAAGCACATAGTCAACGGACAAGCACATGAGCAAGGTTCCCTATCAACATCAACAGAGAGAGTCTGTGGAAGTATACCTGAACAACATCATCTAGACCCTTGGCCTCTTTTAGAAGTCGCTTATTCTTCGTCTCAAGGACACTAGCAACAACAAAAACAGCAAGAGCAGTTTTCTGTTCTGTCCATCCAGTTTGAACATTTTTCCTCTCGAACTTTCCATACAGCTTTAGCAGTTTATTGTTGATCTTTTGGCTGCCATTCTGGCAACTAGAATTCGGCTCCTCGTACAACAGATACATGTTTGGATTGTATTCCATGGCCCACATCACCTATTTTAAGTTCAACCTAGTAAGTAAAATGTTTGTACGTCGAGCAATAAGTCCCCAGCCAGTGGGCAATCCAGCAGTTTTCCAGATAAACCTCAAGGACTATTCCGTTCTCCCTGGTCATGACCATTTAAGAGGAACAGTTCCCCAGCAATAAAACACATTGAAGTTGATGCTTAGCAGAAAAAACTTTTTAAGACAAATGGCTTTCAAACTCCAGTATCCAGTTTTCCTTACCTCCCAAAGATACAACGAATCAACAAATGAGAACTCTCTCCTAAAAAGTACCATCAGCATACGAAACGCAAACAAATACTCCCCACCATCCAATTCCTCTGTCAAAAATTAAATAAATTGAAATTACTACTTTGGGATGGGAGGAGAGAGACAGACAGAAAAGTTTGACGACAGAGAAACACAAAATACCACCATCCAAGTTTTTCTGGAGAAAATTTTAATAAATAAAATAGTAAGTACAAGCTTGGGGGTGAGGGTAAGTGATAGAGACAGATAATTAACTATGTGGAATATCCCAAAACTCTGTTCTAGTAGTTCGTAGCATTGCCATTGCTCAGGTACAATCAAGGCTTGCCACTTCAGTAACTGAAGATCTGGCATGTATAAACCTTTAGAAAAGAAGAAAAGAAACTGAAGATCTGGCATAAACATCTTAATTGCAGTTTGCTGTAGAATTTTTTAACTGTTAACAAGTTTTACACACATCTGAAATCTCTTTTATTTATCCTAATTGAGGCTTTCCTTTTTAGTAATGAAGTTAACATATGGGCCAGAACATATTCGGAAAGTAAATCTTGTACCCTAAGCTCTGATGGATTTAAATATTGGAGTCTTTAAATATTTAGTCCACTTGGAACTTAAATAACCACTATCCATTTAAAGTCCACTGATCCCTCGCCAATGATCTGCCTAGCATAGAAAACTCTTACACACTGCATGTAGATGCAAGAACCACAAAGCTAAGGCTCTGAATCCTACAACAATATCTAGAAGAGAACAGGGTTAGCAGCCAATACCAAGATGTTGGTGTAGCTTTGGATCAATAGTTTTAATGATCTGTGCAAGAGTACTCAGCTGAGATTGAACACCAACAGAAGTTGTGCTGCACCTAAAGTTTTCCCTCTTCAAAAGCACAGAGATGTACAATAGAATTCCAGAAAATAAGCAGTGAATACAGGTTAAATTGTAAAACATACAAGACAAGAAGTTGCCTTATATCAGGGCTAGGTGAAATACACGCATATCACTTAAGATTTGACATGTTTAAAAACTCAAAAAAGAGAAATCCTAATAAGGACACTGAAACAACCAAATCAGTCAGGTCCCTGACATCCCATGAACGTTCAAAGCAGAGAAAATTACATATAAAGAAAATATGCACCAATCAAATCTTTGGCACAGAATATTATATTTATAGAGTTACAAGAAAAATTGCATTGTTTGGCCATGAATTTTCAATGTAAAAAATAACAAGTTAAATAATATCAAAGAGTTATCACCTGCAGACATACAACAATAATAGTGTTCAATTAACTTAACTCCATTTCCAGGGTTTCAATATGTATGGCAAAGAAAATGGACTGACAGCATTGAATATTCTTATATGGCCAGCAACAACTGAGTTCAACTTTACATCTAAAATCGGCAAATCATGACAGTACAAAATTAGAAAACATAGTCCATTTGAAAATCGTTCTTCACTTTCTCAAATCTCCATATGACATATATCATGAGCAGACCAAAACTGCCAAATTAAACTCAAATTGCCCCCTGGTTATTTTCTTGTTTAGGCAGTTTTAGCACCACAAGAAGGAAAGCAACAAGAGTAGATCCATGGCCTCCTCCATTCCAGAAAAAGTAAAAAGAAGAATGAAGACGAGAATAGGAAAAGGGGAGAAAATTAAATGAGTGTGCTCAGAGATGAAAATATACGCAATTTATCTACAGTACTGCAGCATGAATTTAAGCATAGATTGGAAGCCATGCATTTGAAACAACAAGAATTAGAATGAGCACAAGAACATTAACACAACAAATATGAATACATATTTTACAATAAGCAAGTGAAAAATTGCACGTATCAGGGAAAAAGAGCTTACCAATCTGCGCATTGCACGCTCAAAGCACCAAAATGCATCTGCTTCATCATCTAGAAGAATAACCATTGGAGAGCATATGTCATTCATTCCTGCTTAGAGAAATAAAAGAAGACTCTGTAAGACATACAAGATCATCTTGCTATGTTAAGTTAAACTGACAGCCAATTACCTTGAACATATCCAATATCTCCGTCAAACCAAGAATATACAGCAAGGATATCCCAAAGTTTGGCTTGGTTCTTTTCGGTTTCATAAAAAACCAGAATACGATCCGTGCGAACAACGTCTAGACCTACAGCACAAATTTGTTTCCAGTTGTTTTAGCAATATAGACCATGAAGATGTACTCTAGTAGCTTCCTAAGTATGAGCCAAGCTATATGGTGAAACTAAATATGTTTGAGTGAAAGAATGAAGGGTATCAAGAATGATAGATGTACTTCTACAGGAGTAAGGTGGGAAGGGGGAGAAAAAAAAAAAGAGTGGGGAGAGGGAAGGCCGATTTAGACAGGGTACAAATCGCTAAAAATGAACCTAATATTTGTACATTGTAATTGCAATGTGCTTATATGAACATAATAAATTTGCTCGACCAAAATGCTGGAACAAACACACCACATCGGACATGGCAACAACATAATTTCCCAGGAAACTAAGCTATATAGTAGACATGAATATTGCATTGGCTTATTTACATATGCAATTTTAGACTGTAGATATAATAATGAAGACTCTACTAAATTAAACTATTTCCCCACCTAATTACATGGATTGAGCCAAATGAAAAGTAAAATGCCTAATAACAGCACTTCAACCTGACATAGACCCAACTCATACGTATAGCTAATTTGCAGCAACATCATAAGTCCATTAACGATGGATTAATAGTACTCTAATATCATTTGTGACTATTGGTGAAGTCCAATAGTTAAGAAACATTACCTTGCTGGTAACAAGTGGAATTCAAGTGTACAGAAGGTGTGATGATAGATTTATCATCTATGCAAAAGATAACCAAAAAAAAAAAGAAAAAGAAAAAGATCTCTACAAGTATGAAGTAGATTTTTAAGTATTTAGGAAAAAAGAAAATTTTCCTTACACGAAGTTACTGTAATGTTCAATCAGCAATTGAGCAGCTCTCACATTTATCAATGATGCATTCCAGAGCAATGTCCAAATACACATGATACTGGAAAATAATTTTAACTCAAACAAGGAACGCACTAAGGATGAACACGAACAGCCTAGGTTGCTAGCAAAGAGGAATACCCAAAAATAACCAGAAAAATGGGTGAACTACATTAACCACGCCAAGATCAGAAGAACTATAACAACCATATAGGGTATAGTGTACCAACCAATTTGATGCAAGCTCCGCTTCCACTGAATCACTCTCTTATCTGCTGAACCATTGTCACTCGGCTTGCCACCAAAGTCATCTGGTAGATTGCCATTAACTGAAGTTTCAATTATCGGCTGGCCATCATCAGTAATTATGGCTGCAGTTATGAACTTTCCACTGCCAATAACTGGCGCCATTTCTTTACATTCAGTTTTCCAAGCAGCATACTGCTCCCTGATCAGCCAACTTGACATACTTAGTCAATAAATAACCATATGAACAAAACCCAAATTTTACACATCAATACATCCAAATAAGAACATAGATCCACCAACTCTTAAATCTGTGGCATCAATTGAATCCAGCATGTAGAGGCAAGTTTGCATCCAACATGTTGAGGCAAGTTTGAAACCGACTGAACATGAACACTTGCAACCAAATTGTTACTCAAACAGAAGAAGTAGAACACAGGATAAAGTGAAGATGATCATGTTTGTGACAATACGAATTAACAAATATTTGGAGCCATATGACGTTACTTGAACCACATAATAACTCCTTATATAACGAATGACGCTGATAAGAGGAACTGTTACAGAAACAGAATCATTGCGTGAGAAACCATTCTTGCATTCAATAGTGCATAAATTATATTATTCAGCTTGTAATAACTCAAGAGATAGTATTGAAAATAACTGCAGCGAGCAATTTCAAAAGCAGAAGGTACTGCGATAAATTAACTCACATTACCTTCTTCGCTGTCTAATTTCATTTCTTTCCTCAAATGTGCTGTTGGGATCATAACAACCCAACAGAAATTCCCAGACAGCACCTTTAATTGATGGATGAATGCCCTACCATTTTTGCAATGCAATCAAATAAGCAGAATACTGCCAATATTCCATGAGCTAAGGAAGCATATACATTTAACAGATCGAATTGAATATCACTCTTATTTAAACTCTTGAACAAACAGCATAAGTAAAGATTTAATGCAAAAGAGTGCATCCTGTGATTAAAATAAACTTCCCAATGCAAATGCATTCTTACTCTTCGGCACTAAAGTCAAATTGGAAACAAATAATATTCGAGGCTAAAGTTAGAAATGTAGCTTTCAACACAACAACTTTAGTACCGCAGATCAAATGCGAAAAATAAAACTTTTGCAGAGCTTAGAAGGTGCCCTGCCACCAACGTCGCATGCTTTAGGTACACTTCGTCTACCACCCAAGACCAGGCAACAATTGAATGCAATTTTGCAAGTTTCTTATACATATTTCATATTCTAGGCAGACCAAGCTGCCTGAATACTATCTGATAAACAAGCTTTTTGGACAGCACTTAAAACCAAAAAAAAAGGGGGGGGGGGGTGTGGAGAACTCACCCCTCTCTGAATTCTTCTAAGAACTCCTGCTATATCCAACTGACCATCTTGACTGAAAGCAGCATTCCATCTTCTTGGACTTAGAGTTTTACCCACCTGTCAAACAAATAAAGGATCTTGTCAGAAGAATCTGTTGAAAATTCTGGGAGGTGGGGGGTGGGGTGGGGAGAAGGAAAGGTGTACAGCCCACCCTGCCAATCAACATCCCTCGAAATATATCAAAACAAAAAGATAAAAAAAAAATAATAATAATAAGTGATGGTACCAAAAAAAAATTTGCAACTGATAATCAAGTCCTCGGCGTGTTCTAAGTATTTGTATTTCCATAGCCTAATAAATGTTTATACACTCTCCAGCTTCACTCACCAGTAGAGTTCAAGTTACAAATCCACAAATACTTGAACAAACGCAAGTGAAATGCTAAAAAGTTGGGAGTCATGAGCAATTGCTAAAAGCGAAGTTTAGTAATTAACCATACGGAGTTAAATGAATTACGCAGATAAAATATGACAGGCAAATGGAACTCGCACAAACCCTGGGTTTGAAGCGGGTCTTGGGAACATCTTCCTGGCGTTGATGCCTCACAGGGAAGTATGAATCCAACTCTACGGAAGCCGAATTCTTCATCAGACACCCCAATCCTGACGGCAATGTAAAAGTTTAGCAATAGAGGAAATCAGCAGTCCCAAAAGATAAGACCCTATTGTTGCATGCTACCACATTACGATATCAGCCAAAGTAGGTTGTACCATTATCCTCCTTGCACATCAAAAAGCCCATCTCTTTTCGCGGATGGTCGATTATGTTCTGCCAAATGAAAAACGCACTTTCTAGTTTCTACTCAATCCCAACAACTAAGTTATTCAAGTGCTGCAACGTAATAATACTCCTAACTGATCAACGAAAAGTGAGATCCCAGTAAAAGTCCTCAATTTTCTTTAAAGATTTCTCCCACCTTAAAATCGAACAAATGAAGCAGCTTCAACGAGACGCAACAATGCTTAGGTATGTATGACCAGGAATGGTGTATTCTATTTCTGACTTCTGCAGCTTCTTTTTTTTCTTTTTTTTTTTTTCCCGAAGGACATATGCCAGGTACGAATACAGAAAAACAGGAGACAAAAGATTCGCGTGGCTCTGAGATTAATTCGAGATGGAGGAGGACAATAACATGGGACAATAATTTTCTTTTCTTTGCTGGGGAAATTGTCATTCTAGTCTCTCAACTTTTTCAGTTACACCAATTTAGGCCCTAAAAGTTTTTTTTACATGGAATTAGTCCCTAAATTTTTTTCACTGGTATACTTTTCTGTACAAAATCACCACTAAATTGTCATTTTAATTTCTAAACTTTTTCAATTATATCAATTCAGTCCCTAAAAGTTTTTTTACATGGAATTAATCTCTAAAATTTTTCACTTATACCAATTAAGAACCTCTATAGCGGCGCCACCAATTAGTTACTTTCTGGTACAAAATCACCATCAAATAAAGGGCAATATATGAGCTACAAATTAAGGGTCAAAACTAAAAACAAAGAAAAGATAGAGGACTAAAGCTACAATAAAATGAAAAAAATGAGAAACCTGTCTTCTTTTTTTTTTTTTTACAGCACGTGTTCCATAGTAACAATTTACAAGAATTCACAACTCATTCTACACGCATGAGTGTCTATTATCATTTTTTTTTAAGGATAGGACAATGAAAATTTTCAAAGAAGTATTAGCAAGAATCGTATACTACTATGTAATATCTGCATTTTTCTTCTAGTATGTAATATCTTGCTTGAAAAGAGTGTGAAAATTGCCAATCAATTACGTATTGAGAATAGGTTAAAGCCACGAGTTAGAAATTGGATTGGTGAATGCAAAAGTGGTTGGGGATAAAAAAATAAAAATTTTAAACAAACAAGTGTTGAAATTTTAATACTATATTTAATGTTCTGATAAATTGAATAGAGTCAGTCGGTTGGAGCCGATGTTGGACAACAAAACAAGTGGGCACAGGCCGCAAGGCATTAATCGGTTAAAGCCCAATTAGTGTGAAAAGAGCAGCCCATCAACATCAAAGCCCATCAGTCCGGAAATTAAAACCCTAGCGCTATATCTTTCATTCCTCAAACCCTAGAGCCAACATATTCCTCCGCGTCACTCATCACCACTCCCTCCGTAGCGCCCATCAGAGATCGCCGAAAATGGTGAGTCTTCGCCGCCGTATGTCCTTCAGCTACCGCCAGTCTCTCTTTAGATTGTCTGCTCTTCATATTTCACTTAGAAAATGAGTATGAATTTTCTGTTTTGTGTTTTTTTTATTCTTGTAAAGGTGTTCAAGAGGTACGTGGAGATCGGAAGGGTCGCTCTGATCAACTATGGCAAGGAATACGGAAAGCTCGTCGTCATCGTCGACGTCATCGACCAGAATAGGGTAACCTTTTGTTCCCTGCTTCCTTACAAGTTTCATATTTTGCATAATAAAAACAGAGCTTATAGATAACAGTATTAGGTTTTTTTATGTTAATTTGATGCTTTGCAAGCGTATTAGCGAGGAGGTGTTGTTTGGGTATCCGTATGGATTTTGTTGCTGAGTAGCATTATGTCGGTTCGTAGATATCTATTATCCGTAGTTTTCTAATTGAACTCAAGTATGTGAGTGGAGACTAGCCTGTCTGCTCGAGTTTTTCAAGGTTTTTTTTTATTGTGAATTATCTAGATTGATGGACCTTCATAGGATGATAAGGATTCCAGCATTTTTTTGGGATTTGCTTGTGAATATTTTTCTCTTGAGAAGAAAGAAATGAGTATCTGTAAGTTTCCCTTGAGTCCTACTCATTACAGAAGCTTGAAGCGGATTCCAATGGCTACTAGTTGTCGCTATTTTTGTAAATTTCTTGGAATGATTTGCAATGGCTACTATTCACTTGCTATTTGATAGCGAATATCTTATTTTTCTGAAACTTTTTAAGATTATCATTTTTCTTTCAAACTTTTTTCCCTCTCAAGTTTGGAATCTTAAAGTTCTAGGTAAATATTATTTTAGAGAATTAAGTACTTATCACTTCATTTTTGCCTAATGGGTGGAAAGTTTGTTGGTGATAAATTAGCCGGAATAGATAGGATGTACATGATGCTAGTAAAATGTTGAAGGATTTGTGGACTTCAATCTGTTTATTGAGCCTTTATTTTTGTAGGCTCTTGTTGATGCCCCCGACATGGTGAGGAGTCAAATGAATTTCAAGAGGCTCACTCTCACAGATATCAAGATTGATATCAAAAGAATTCCAAAGAAGAAGGCTTTGGTTGCTGCTTTGGAGGCTGCCGGTAGGTATATTAGGTGATATGATAGACTTGCTCTCTCTTGATAAATTTTGGGGATTACCCTGCTGATTTCTGATGGTATTCTGCAGATGTCAAGACTAAATGGGAGAATAGTTCTTGGGGTAGAAAGCTGATTGTTCAGAAGAGAAGGGCCTCACTCAATGATTTTGACAGGTTCAAGCTTATGCTGGCAAAGATTAAGGTGCGTGTTACTTTTGGTGCCATTTACTAGTCATGTGTGAATTTTTTTGTGCACCGATTATAACATGGAGGAGGAAACATGTAAGAAATGAATCCCGTGTTATAGACCTGAATAGTCCCTTTGCCTTCTGGTCTCTTTCTTGATGAGTGTATGTTTGAGTCTGATTTTCTAACTGTGCTTTGGATACATCTGCAAGTCCTTTTCACATAATTAAACATCCCATCTGTAGTAAATATGTGTTGGCCGTTCTGTTTTCTGGAATTTAATGTCCTGATGAAGTCTAGATGTTCTCTTCTTGTTCTTTTGCAGAAAGCTGGAGTAGTAAGGCAGGAGCTTGCAAAGCTAAAAAGGCAGAGTGCTGCTTGAGGAAAATCTTCACATCATAATTGCAATTTTTGTTTTAGTGCCTATTTCGGAAGGTGTATTGATGTACTCTCAGTTTAGTTTTAATAGTGGAAGGAGAGAAACATGCTTTCTTTTTGACCATTTTTGGATGGAATTGAAGATTAAATGGTCTTGGAGTTCTTGAGTTTTATTTATGAAGTTTAACCTTGCTTCTGGGATCAATTTTTGTGCTACTACTCGTTTTGGTATTCCAACTAGATCTGCATGCCATTGGTTGCCGTACGTGTAATGCCAAATTAGCATGGTATGTGTGGCATTTTTACTGAATGATGTTGATTGTAAAAATATTCGTGCAGTTGCACCGACTGATTATTGTGCATGTTTATGTCAATGGGTTCTTGCTTTGTGCACGCAGAAGGCCCCGCATTATCTTCTGTTAGCTTTTCTTGGTCGGGTAGGTGTTACCATTAGCTTCTTTCTGGTCTTTGTTAAGTACCGAGTAATGCAAGTTTATCTATCTTATTGGGAAGGATGCTTAGCTGGCCGTTGAAGATTATTGGGGAAAAGGGATGAAGAGGGAAGAGGAGAGGCAGCTGGTGATGGTGGGTAATGGTGTTTGATGATGGTGGGTGAAAAAAATAAAAAAGGAGAGATTAAAAGTTTGTTTGGACAGGAGCTTATTTTATTTATTTATTTATTTTTATTAGGCATGTTTGAAATTGTATATATTTTAAATATTTTTGAAGGTATTTTTAGTGTGTGTTACTATAGATTCCAAAAGATGAAAATTAATTTGTGAAAAACTTGCCGATCCAAGCAGAGCCCAACCTCTTCTTTGGTTGTGATTGGCGATCAGAGAGAGAGAGAGAAAGAGGGGAGAGAGGAAGAGGGAAAGAGAAGGGGAGGAGAGGGGGATGGTGACAATGGAGGAGAAAAGGAAGGAGGGAAGACGGATGGTGGTGTACGGTGGATGATGGTGGAAATTAACAAATCTGAAAAAAAAAATCCAACAAAATGTTAAATTTTAAAAATACCTCAAAACACATTTCAAAAACACATAATTCACACTATCCATTTATAATAGGAAGTTTTTTAAATAAAATGTTAACACTATATTTCAAAAAACACCCTTCAAAACACCTAATTCATACGGATATGTTTTTAATAATTTGATAGAGTTAGTGCAACATACTTTTGGTAAGTGAATTAGAGATTTGGACTATATTAAAATTCATCAGGTGAGTAAAATAAAATGGAAATACAAAATCATGTAATAAACAGAAAAAAAAACCTAAGGATTTTACTTGACAATTCACATGAGGGACGCCAGAATTAGATAAACTTGGGAAGTAAACTTGGGCTTAAATCAATTCAGTTGTCCTCAGGAAGAAAAAAAAAAAAAAAAAAGCGTTAGGTTCCCTAAATTTTGTAGTATTCATTTAGCATATTATTTTTCTTGCCCTTTATCCTTTCTTTTTTTTCATTTTTGACAATCTATCCACATAACGAGTATGAAATTGTCTTAAAAGATTTTGGAGAAAATCAACTCCAATGCACCTGGCAAAAGTTCACGAATTGTTTTCCTCGGAAGCATAATACCATGTTGTTGCTAATTCATTGTTAGACAATTAAAAAGCCTTTCCCTTTCCTGGTGGAAGCTCCCACAAAAATTCCCATTGTTCTGCAAGCGTGTCGTGGGAAAAAGGAAATGAAGTGAGGTAAAGGAGAAAGAAAACTTTTCCACATGTGTTTAGTTAACAAGAAGAAAATACAAATGCTTGTGGTTGTTTAACAGAAAGTTACGGAAAAATTAGCTAGTGTGTTCTTTAATAGAAAAAAATTCAATATTGAACTTCTTTATTTTCGGTAAACATAGATTTAGCTAGTGTGTTTTAAGGCATTTTTTGTGTTTTTGAGATTGTTTTTTTTTTTTTTTGGTGTTTTTTAGATTGTTTTTGGTATCTTTGAGATTGTTTTTGTTTGTGTATGTGACATTATATATGAAAAACTTGTTTTTTAAAAAATGAAAATTCAAACGGAATAATAAGTTTATATATGTATATGCACAAATGTGTGTGTGTCAGTTATTTCAAAAATATATAGACATAAAAAAGGATCATAAATGTAAACGAAAAAAATACTAATGTCATATACATTTAATAAATTACTAATTCATTAATTTATAAAATAAGAATAAAATGCTCAATTACAAGCCAGTTGATTGAATTGTAATTCTAATTTAGGTAAAAGTTTAGAATGGAGGAAATAGTTTAGAAAGAAAGATGTTGTAAAAAAAAAAAATTAATTAGTTAAAATTTTTTCATGACTCACTTTTCTATCAATTTCAGATGAAAAGATTTTATAAGAAAATAAGCAGTTGCGAACAAATTTTTTGTGAAGGATCCCATAAGTTTTTGCCGACAAATAAACGTACAAAACGTACAGGGAGGAAAGTTATCCTTCACTTTCGTTCCCTTTTCCTGTTGATCAAACAGTGTAAAGTCTTCCGTGCGAAGTTGCAGGAGTTGGAAAGAAGTTAGAACAAACCCCCCACGCCCACCGCCGAGGAATCACTTCTCCGTGTCACTTTCGCCACCCGCCTGACACATCTGTTGCCGGCAAAACAAATATCTTTTATCTGGAGGATCAAAATTAAAGAAAGAGGCAAAAAAAAAAAAAGTAACGTCAATGAACATCTTCTCAAAGAAGCCCACCGCCAAAGGTTCCTTTTCAGCGCCCATTCTTAATTCTCTCGAGTTTGGTGTCGTCTAATTCTTCTGATCAAAATTCTCTATAGTCTTCCCTTTTCCTTTTATGGGTATATGACGAACTCTTTTATGGGTTGACTTGTGAACTCATCGAGTCATTGTACTACTAGTGGTCTTTGGTTTTTCACTCTTTTCTTTTTTCAAATCTGTTTTGCTTGAGATCGGATATTAATGCTAATTCATGCTCTCTAATAATGGATTTGTATTTGGTTTGATTTGCAGAGGCTCTGCGACAGAGCAAAAGAGAAATGACCAATGCCACCAGAGGTTGTATCAATATCTCTGCTTCCCAAAATCTCATTCTTAATCTTATTTTTGATTAGCATAGAGATTGTGATAGTAGTAATTTTCCAATCATCCCTGTTAATAGATAAAATAGAGGTATGTTTTCTATTTAAGTTTCAGGCCAAAAGGCACAAGCCAAAGTAAAGGTTACCGTGTCATGATGATGCAGTAAAATTCTTTATGACCTAATAATGGTTAGAGTCTTAAACTGGGGTCAAGGAATATAAGTTGAGGAGAAGATGCAGTATCATCATCTGATGTCTGCGCTTGACAGTATTGCTAAGAGTTGAAAAGTCTCAAATTTCCTTAGTGGTGCAAGTCTTGTTACTATTTGGTCAGAATTTCTTAAACTTGACACCTTTGCCATTGTGCAGTTTACCCTCTTATAGATCATCTTTTTGCTGAATAAAGAGCACCATCTAATGAGGCAAAAATGAGAATATACTTCTGCTTCTAGTCTTCCTTGTTTATTTTTATTGTTATAGTTTGTCAGATTAGTTAAAATTCCACAATTGTGATTTCCGTTGCACTTGGATTTTTTTCATTTTAGGTATTGAGAGAGAAATTACTGGACTACAATTAGAGGTATGCCAAAAGTTTCCTCTTGGTAGTTCTATTGACAATTCAGTTGCATAGAATTCGAGTTGAATATCTAACTTTGACCGTGAAATAGGAAAAGAAGCTTGTTGCTGAGATAAAGAGAACTGCTAAGACAGGCAATGAGGTTTGCTGCTCTCAGTACACTTCTACTAATTTTTCCTTGCCTCTTGAGACTCGTGCCTATTATAGTTCATGGTCTCTTTGTACAGCATATAAGATTATACGCCACAAAGGTCTTTGGCATTTTCATCTTAATTTTTGTTATTAAATTTCCAGGCAGCAGCCAAAACTCTAGCACGTCAACTGGTTAGGCTGAGACAGCAGATAGCCAACTTGCAGGGTAGTCGAGCTCAAATGAGAGGTATTGCTACTCACACTCAGGTAGACCACTGAAAATCCTTTATTTTTCTAACCCTTCCATTCCCTATATGGCTAGTGCATTCCTCATCAAGTTGTATTTATTTTTTCAGGCAATTTCTGCCCACTCTTCGGTCGCTGTCGGCATGAAAGGTGCTACTAAAGCTATGTCAGCAATGAATAAGGTTAGGCTGATGTCAACTTTGTGAATGTTTTATGGTGTAAAGAGAAAATATAGATGCATATGATTATGCCCTCAGACAGAGAGAGACTTGTGAAGGCAGAAGAAATTGGTTCCTCTCAATGAGAAGAGTTCCAAAATACTAGATTCTAGAGTTAATTTTAGCATAATTTGCTTTGGGTTAACCCATGGTTCATGGAGTTGGAATGAATGACAAGGACACCTGCCCCCTCGCCTTTGAGCAAGACAAAACAAGGGGGCAAGGGATCCTTTAATAGCATTATAGTTTTATTTATTTATTTTTGGTAGCTTCATAACACAGTGTGTCATCTTTAAGGGTGGTCTAGGCTCTCCTAGACCATAAACTTTTTACTGCATGCACCATGTGATCTCCTTTAAACAAAATGGTTATGATTTAATTGTCAAAAACATAATGATTTTCTCTGTCATAGGGGGAAACATGAAATCAAAGTCAGTTTGTGTTATCTTTATCCCCACTCACATCCATGATTATATACTGTGTTGTAGCAAATGTCCCCAGCAAATCAGGCAAAGGTAATGCAAGAGTTCCAGAAGCAATCAGGGCAGATGGACATGACGGTAAGATTGTAAAATTTCTTTGAACTATAATATGGAATATTAACTTGCATATCTGGCACCAATGTTTATGTTGTTTGTCCTCCTAGACTGAGATGATGTCAGATGCCATAGATGATGTTCTGGATGATGATGATGCGGAAGATGAAAGTGAAGAGTTGACGAATCAGGCAAGTCTTGTTAGGGCATTTCATTTAGTTTGAGTAAAATTTTGGGGCATATGCTTGGAACTGGGAACTTTTAAGTTTGAAATTATCATTTAGTTGGAGAAGTCACTTAAATCAGTTATAAAATATGAAGCTAAAGTTCTACAATTAATGTCCATGGGAAGAGATGGGCCTTTCTGATATGTTTTAGTTTCCAACTGATTATATGAACCTAGTTCAGAAACAGAAGCATGTATGCAGATGGAAGGCTACTTGCGTATGCTATCATAATGATGTCCGTCCTGAAATGTTTGTCGCATTTCGGGATTCCAACTTTTAAGAATAGTGGTTGATAGTGATGTTAGTGGATTTGTTTCCACAATTAGCCTCAAAAATTTAAATTTCAAATTTGAATTTAGTATGAAACATAGATAAAGGTGGGAATAATATTGGAAAAAAAGATCAAAAGTAACTTTGACTTTAGTAAGATAACAAACATTTTAGGACATCCCAAAATGGAAAGCATGACACTTTCAATGGGACAGAGGGAGTATGTCACAATTGATCACCATGAAAGTAAAGCCTTTAAAGCTAGTCTTTGCAGTTTGAGAATGTCATTGTGGCTTTAATTTCATCTTCGCTTGTGCTTTAAAGTGATAAATTGAGTTCCAGGTATGCTAAAATGCAAAGCTGCTTGACATTTATGACATCAAATGAGTCCTGTAAAATAGAGAATCAAATTTTAAATGCTATCTAGTTGCAAATTGTTGTTTATTGAAATTTACAAATATTTTGCTTTAATTGTGTTAATATCTATCTCTTTACTCATTTCTGAGATTTACGCCCATGTCTCATTGATCTTACATTTTTAGGTGCTAGATGAAATTGGCGTTGATGTTGCCTCACAGGTTTGTTCGTCTTTCTGGTTGGTGGTTGTGTGAGTTTATCTTATTTATACTCTTTTAGCCAAATTGACTTTTCACATCTTGTCTTCCAGTTGTCAGCAGCTCCCAGGGGAAAAATTGCTGGGAAGAACACTGAGGATGGAAGCAGGTGCATCCCTATACTCTTTTTCATTCCTCCTCTTGTATTTTTTTCACAAGAATACGAACAAAGACGTGCATACGTGCACATGGATATGTTATGTTAAATTACCATTTTGCTCTTTGGAACAAAGTGAACACCTTGAATTCAAGAGCTGACAAGTTTTTTCTTTTCTTGTTTCCCCTTTTCTCATTTCACTCATAGTGGGTGTTTTGACATAATAAAGGGGAACTTGATGTACAAATTTCTTTAGAAAATTGGACTATTCTTTTAAGGAATGCTAGGATTTTTGCTATTATGACCTAGAAATTAATATGTTCAATAGGTGTTGATAGTTTTTCTACTTATGGGAGTCCTGCCAATATGGCTAGCCTAGTGTAAAATAAAGAGTTGGACACGAGTGCCACAAGGAATAGTGAAGAGTCCGAGTAACATAGCACCCTGGAGTACGATCTTTACATACTAGATTTGGCCTGTTATTATGTCTGTTCACTATTGTACATGAATAAATTGATGAGGTTGTATTCCAATGTGGTGTTTATCCATCGTCGTAGGAAGTGTAGCTTGGTTCTCCTTCCAGTTCTTTGTATAGATCTAAAGTTATCCCTTGTATTTTTTTTTTTGGCAGTTCGGGGATTGATGATCTGGAGAAGAGATTGGCTGCGCTTAGAAATCCCTAAGGGATTGTCTTTGGATTGGTTACCGTGTTTCCTCCCAGATTGTTGATTGGCAGTACGGTCTGCAGTTATTCACAGTTGTACATGTCACATATTTGTCCTACCATTTTGTAAAAACAAAGTTAGCTAACCCTGTTTTTCATTACATTGAGGCCATGTGTGATAGATTTTAAGTAGGAAGAATGCTCGAAATTTTTTTCAGTAGAATTATGTGCCTTGGGCTATACGTTTATTCAGTTCCGAAATCCATGTGATTACATTAGAATTCAGCTTTCAGCCACATTTTACAAGTACCTAGTGTTTTGACCTCATGTTTTGGTGGTGGTATGAGTAAGCTCACGCTGGGTTTGTTTGATGGAGAAAGGGCAAAAATGATAATAGGAACAGAACAGTTGTGGGAACAATATTTCTTGTCTGTGTTGCGCGTTAAGTGGCCTCATTTAGGGAAGTCCAACTTACCCAGAGAGTACGTTTGATGCGTGCTTTTCCTGAACTCCCTTGTTATTCTAGCTTATTTTAAATGAGTGACTCCGAAATAGAGTAAGCTCTCATCAGTTGGCACGAGCATACGCCAAAAGGGAGCAAATGGCAATCAGAGAGAGCGTTTCTTTGGAGTGAGTGATCCTTGGGTAAGGGTCACGAATGAGTGGGGGTAGGAGGAGGAGGCTTTGAGAAAGCATCTAACCTAATTTGTTGAACAAGCAAAGAGAAGGAAGGGTTGGGAAACATTCCGATTGAAGCGATAACGAAAGGAGGGCCATATGAAAGACGATTGAATATAATGTCCTCCGTCTGGGCCTCTTAGGGCATCTGCAACGGAGTGTAATGATGCGTGCAATGTCTGTCATGACATAGATCCATTGTGGCCGTGTAATACCCATCACACGTATCATTCTGATGATGCATGTAATGGATAGGCCAGTGTCAAAATTTATACCAGCAACGTTAAAGTCAGCAACGTTCATTTTTTTTCCAAGAGTTATGTTTTAATTCTTTATATAAACACACAACACACTCCTTTTTTTTTTATATCCTACCATTCTACTCTATTATTTCTTTTACTCTCTCACTCATTTTCCTCAACCCCATTCCACAATTTTTTAAAATTTCAATATTTTGTGATTATGGATGAGAATTTTAGTAGTTTTACAAACATGTTAAATGCTCCAACTATTGAAAATTCATCCTCCTCACAAAATCAAAACCCCAAAATTTTTCAAATTACCCATTTTCTGATATTCCTACAACTGTGCAAAGTTATTTTTATCCCCTCAATTTATCCACTTCTGTTATTCCTACAAATTACCCATTTTTTGGTATTCCTACAAATGTGAAAAAAATAACAATATATTATTTTTGAAAGATAGAAAAAGATATATTGTTCAAACTTAGAAATTAATAATATTATTTTTTAGAAAATAAAAAATCCAAAAGGTAAAAAATTTAATGAAAGTTAATACTTTATTTTTTAAAAATAACAAAATTATTTTTAAAAAATTACTTTATTTATTTATGGGATATGAGTTATGCATTATTAAAATAAATATTTGATTTAATTATGCACCCATACTATTACACTTTATGGAGTGTAATCCATTGTGAGTGAAAGTATAATAAAAAAGGAAAAAATAAAATACTGACGTGACATGCGAATTACACTCTAAAAAGTGTAAACCATTATGAATGCTCTTATTGTAATTCTTAACTTTCTCTTACTGTCTGCAGTGACCTGATCCCTGGAAGGGGGCAAGGACGAGCCTTAAAGAGTGCATTAGGAGTCCATGGAGTACGTTCCACGCAAAGTGCATCTCCTGCACTGCTATGTCATTCTAGCTATCCTAAAGGCAAGCATACAGGTTTGTAAAGGCAAGCATACAGGTTTGTTTCGATTGTGAATTATTAGAGATATTTTTACTGTAGCACTTTTTGTGATGTAATGTATGTGAGATAAAAAGATAATTTGGAAGATAAAAAGGTGCGTTGGAAATTGTAATGATGATGTAAGCAAATAGTCTTTAGGAGCTACGGCTACCAAGATTGCCCACTCTAATCTTGAGTCAATTTTAAGCTTAACGAGATGTTACCCAGATATAACTACAACGTTGCACATATTATAACATTCTCAGAGCTTTGCCACGGTGAGAAAGGTAGGCCAGACCACCAGTTCTAGATTTTGGTTCATATGCAATGTCACTAACATACAAAACAGGTTTTTGACAATATTTGTGCAATAGAATTCAAGGTTTAACTAAACATTTACACAGAGCAAATACATTCTTTCCCTGTACGAGGTTACATCGGAACATTTATTACAGCTAACAATGTTTCATACATAAGAAAATTCCCGCATGTAAAACTCATCATCTTTTTGGATGAGTCCAAAATGCGTTTACAAGAAGTAGAAACTCGGAACAAAAACGAGAACATGGGCATTTAGAAGCCGGATGAGCTTTAGCGGTGTAAGACACATATTTCGCATTTACAGGAGTGCGATAATTCTATGATTTGATCGAGCATAATGACTCAATCGTCCATTTGATATTTTGATGCGGGAGGAACTTTTTAACTTTTTACAAACCCATATCACTTCCTGATTGAGAGAAACTCAAAGCTACGGAGAGGATCATCACGAGTGCCCTTTGTGACTCCAGCACGTGAAAATGACGCTGATTTGGGTTCAATCCCAGGTTGAAGTCTTTGCGTGGTTGACAGTCGACCACTGCTTGACACTAGTCTGCTTGAGCGGCTGTCAGTGGGCTCACCAGAGGAGCTTGGTCTGCTGCTTGAAACGGCAGCTCTTTTTGACGAACTGCCATTTCGTGAAGTTCGCCCTCTTTCTGAATCAGGTTGCTGTCATGAAAAACACCAAGACTTTTTGAAGTACGATTTTGATCCAAATTGCTAACATAAGTTCGCTTAAGCATGAAGGAGATAGAATGTATCAATGAAGCACACAACCCCAAGATCCAAAGGAAAGTGAAATTGGCAAGCAACCAGGTTCAATGAAAACTCACACCAACAGACTGAGCAGTATACAGGGCACAATACGTACAACTTGGAAGATAGAAGCTGCCAAATTGTCATATCTAATACTATAGTCCAAACTCAGCAGTCCACAAGTAAGTTGCTTACTATCCTCATTGGTCAAATATACATTGCACATAATCAAGACGATCAAAATTTTGATTTAAAGGAAAGTATGTCCTTTTCTCATATCCCCCGAGTATATAATTACAACTAGAGGTGTCAAAATGGGTGATTTGGGGGGGTTTGGGTTGGGTAAAATAGGTAATGGGTATAAGTGAGTCAACTCATTTATACCCATTTAATTAGATGGGTATAAATGGGTAAGTCAAAAAATGAATTGGGTAACCCAATTACCCATTTATAACCCATTTATTTTAACTTTTTGTAAACTCATTTAAATTCATTTTTGCAAACTAAGTTATCAATTTATACCACTCTTTGTATCCATCATTAGTTTTAAATATTTATTTATAATGTTCAATAAACTTAATTACCAATTTTTTTTCATTTATACTCTATATCACAAAATTACCTATTATTTAATAATTGAATAATAAGAATATCAAAATTTGAACTAAGTACTATAAAAATTAATATAAAAACTTAATCCAAAAATTTTGAACCCTTAACATTTTTTTCATATATAAATTTAAAATTTCATTTTAGAAAGATAAGAAAATAGGCTAAAATTTATCATAAATTAGTAATGCTGAAAAATAAGCAAGTTAACAAACTAAGAGAAAATAAAATAATAAGATAAAACCAACAAACAACAACAACAATAACAACAACAACAATAATAATAATAATAATAATAAAACAAAAGTAGTTAACAACATGACAAAATGAAAATTTTGAAAAAAAAATGGGTGGGAGAAAAGAAGAGACTTGGGGGGAAGAGAATTTTAAATGGGTTAATTGGGTTTGATGGGTTACCCAATAATACCCATTTATTAAATGGGTATTATTGGGTAACCCATTTATACCCATATACAATAAATGGGTATTATTGGGTAACCTATTTATACCCATATACAAAAATTTAAGATACCCATACCCATCTATTCATGGGCGGGTATGGGTAAATTTAATTAAGTGGGTTGATTTGCCACCTCTAATTACAACATGTGAATTTTATTATCCAAACTGAGTGGTTAGACATGCACGTGGAATCTGGGACTCATTTTGCGCCTGTGTGTGTGAGAGAGAGAGAGAGAAAGCATGCAAATGCATATGCACAGAGACAAAATTATCAATCAAAGAGGAAGGCCATACCACATCCTTAGATGAAGGTATATCGTCTGATCTGTGCCTTGAGTGCTCAGCATGCCGACCAGAACTAGAAGCATTTCGTCTAGAAAAAGCTTCCACAGCACCAGAGAATCTATCTCGAATATCTTGCCCAACTAGATTAAACAAGCAAAACCCCATAATCCAAACAATTACAAAACTTCAGAAGTCAGTATTAGCAGAAGAAAAGAATTAGCATGCATAAACTAGCAACTAGGAGAGCATTGTATCATAAGAAAGCAAGATATTTGCACCCTACAATTTCCACAGTTCTGTCAAAGGGTACCTATATTAAGATACGACCATAATTTCTACTTGTAGCTGCTTACCCGATGTCCTTCCTGGTCTCTCTGCAGATGGTCCAGCATTCATTCCAGCAGACCCACTAGGATTCTAATGCAATGATTAATAGTCAGACAGGACGAAATTATTTTGCTACAAGAACAGTTTTAGTCACATTACTTGAAGACAAGTAAATCAAACAGAAGAAACTACCCTTCCTCTAGAACTAGCACCAATTTGAGGATACTTCAATATCGTCCAATCAAAAACATAGTCAAATTGGTAACCTATAGCACCAAAGGACAAAATCAGGTTAGAAAGCAAGATATTTCAAGTATCTAAAAATCCACTAACAGAACAATACGGTAGCAAAACATGTAAAAATTAACCATATGAAGAATGGATTTACCGTAAAATTAGAAAACAGAATCATGCAGCAAATTGATATACCTTCACGGATAAATAAGTCTCGGAAAAGCCTCTTCAAATATGAGTAATCTGGTTTGTCTTCAAAACGTAATGATCGGCAATAATGGAAGTATGATATGAACTCTGATGGATGTGATTTGCATAGGACCTGTGAAACATAATTGCATCTGTAGTCAACTAATATATTAGTTTTGTCGACTATATCATATGCCGATCTCTAAAGCAGATTAACTGAACAGGATACTGAAAATGCCTGAAAACTATGGGGAGGATACTCCTTTTGATAATATGATCCTATGTTGTTCCAATTGAAGCTAATTAATATGGTAGGAAAGTAGGGGAACTGAAATGTCAAAAGCATCTGGCAGCGAGTAGTGAAAACTGTGAAGCAACCGACTAGGACAATTTTTTTTAATACATGTTATTAAAAAAATCCCTTCATTTGACTCAAATGGAATTCGCATTGGACGACAATAAGTCAAAAATCCGTTAATGAATCAACAATCACCTGGAAACAATCATAAGCGCAGATGTTAGCAAGTAATGATCCAAACTAAGTTAGTGCAGATCACAAAAAGTAGTATTGGGCTCGAATCCTGCTGAATGATCTGGCTAGAGACCTCTTACCACATGCCAGAAGTAAAACATACTTTATGTGACAGGCATTTGATAGACATGCAATTATAGTTCATGAGAAGCACCTCAATAGGGGTTAGCATCTTCTTCTCACTAATCTTGTCATATTTTTGCTTTTTGGTGCCAGCTTTCAGACCCTGCCAAGGAAGGCTAATGCGAGAAAAGGGAAAAAGAATCAGAAAATCCATCCACACAAGTACAAAAACTTAAAATCAACCATATAAAGGTAATGTCCCAAAAGCCATCCCAACACGTCCCCTTCCACACCCACGACTTCTTCCCCAACCCCAAGATGTTCCAAAAAGAATGGGCAATTATATAAATAAAAAATAATAAAAAAGCAGCAGTTCTCCAATCCAACCTTCCTCTCAGAAAGTACATAAGTACATAGCCAAGAGATTCCAGATCATCCCTCCTGCTTTGTTCTACACAAAATAGGCCAGAATTAAATCAGGTTCCTCAAACGCAAGCATGAAAGTAAACCGAGTCTTGGATGTCTAAAGCGACTGCACAAATTACCAACTCCTAGGTGTGTGTTAACACTAGCATATCGAGCCGTGCCTGTGAGGTTCTTGTTCTCTCTGAAACAGAATGTCAAGAAGATCTGCGAGTCAGTAATAAAGGCCAACAGGAAAGAGAAATCATTATAAACTCAGCATTAAACTAAATCACAAATAGATTTATCTGACAAAAAATTGCTAGATTCAATAACAACTGCAAATAATACACCACATATCAAGTGTGTAGACAAGAAGGCATAGTCAAAGTACATACATTTTGATAAATCCAACAGTTAAACCGACTCCAGGCCCCAACCAACCCCCCTCCCTCCAGGAAAAAAAAAGGAATAAAAAACATTCTTCAAATTCATTCTACGAATTATAAATGCTCCATGGTTTTGAATACATAATCTCATCAAAGCCAAGTTGCATTTCACTATATCCAATTCATAGGTAAAAACCGTGAGAAGAAAATACTGGCATAAGATTCCTAGAAACGGCAGTTTATATCAACCAAAGACAAACTTAGATCGCATACAACTCAAAGCAATAATTATTGAACCAGAAAAGGCTACAATTCACTATTGCACACTACTGCTCATCCAGGCTATATATAACTTTCTATTTTGATTTAACTCAGCAACTACCACAATCCAAAAAGCATTCACATAACCATAGCCCAACGCCACTCCAACCTAGCCTTTTATGCATAAATTCCGCAAGCTAGTTTTCCTATAAGAACCAAGTAAAAGATAGAGATGGGTAAAACAGGTAGAACCTGCAAGATAAACTAATACCTGTATGGTATGTGCTTGTGAGTCTGCAAATCCCTATATTTCTTGGCTAAGCCAAAGTCAATGATGTAAACCTGAATAGAAGTAAGAACATTGCTAAGCACAGACATTACCAGATATATTGAGAAAATTATTAAGGAAACAGAAATTCCCACTAAGAATATAAACACAAACAGAAACATGAACAGTAGAAATTCTCAAACCTTTGCCATCCCTGAAACCACATTTTCTGAAAATTCCAGTGCTGCTAAGGTTTCATATGCAATTATTTAAAGTCCATCTCATACATGATCCAATATTTTGATATTATGAAGTTTACGTAAAGCAATCATACACTCTTATTTCAACAACTCCAAAAGGGGTTTTATTAAGACATGCAGACAAATATATGACACAATACCAGAAGCACCATCTATAGCAATCAATGTAGCCTAACTGCCAAAGTTTTGACTCCAACCAAAAGATTTGTGCATATAGCATTCAACCAAGTCATCTCAAGGTGAGGTTGAACAATGATTCAAAGAAGAAGCTGAATTCTGACATTTCACTGAATTTTCAAAACAGACAACTAGACAAAAAACTCTCAGCTCCTACACAAACAAATTATTCAGAAACTAGTAAGAACTTGGCAGCACCCAAACAGAATTCATATGACTTTATTCAGTACAAAGACATGCGCTAATACACCTTAAGGGTCCAAATTCTTTGCACATGCAAGACGAGGAAGAAACACAAAGATAAACATAAAGCAATACAAAATCCTCATAAATACCGCTGCCAATAATTGACTCCCAATTTTTAGGCTTGAATGAGGCGATATGGGGAAAAACTTCACACACATGGCAAAAGCTTATCCAAAATCAATAATATAACAACTTCAACTTTATCATCATGACAAAGTAAAAGGTTTTGCAGAGCTAAACTAAAAAGTAGCCAAAAAACCAAAACTAAAATAAAAAGACCACCTGGTTTGCTTTGCGCCCTAAGCCCATCAAAAAGTTGTCAGGCTTAATATCACGATGAAGAAATCCTCTTGAGTGCATGTATTCAACTCTATTAATCTGAAAAAGTAATAAGACAACAAAAAGATCATTTGGCTGGTAAGGAGATATATCCATTAAAACATACAAGATATGCAATAACTTGCCAGCTGATCTGCAAGCATCAATACTGTTTTCAGGGAGAACTTCCTATTGCAGTAATTAAAGAGGTCTTCCAAACTTGGCCCAAGAAGGTCAATAACCATCACATTGTACTCGCCCTCAACTCCAAACCATTTCAGGTTGGGAATCCCAGCTTTGCCAGAATGGAAAATACAAAGATAATCAGATTAATATGTCTCATAACTCAATCCTTCTTCCACGCAACCAAAATTAAAATGAATTTACGTCAAGACACCATTTTAGAATTTACAAAACGAAAACACCAAGTGCAAAGAAGTAAATTAATCCTCCATACAAGGAAAATATCATCACACTTAGTCTAATGTGTTGTCAGGGTAACTTGTACTAAATCAAGCAGAAAAAAACGGCTTCAAGGTTACCTCTACTTGTTGGTAATTCAAATGTACTATTAACATATAATTAAGTTGCACAAGAAATAAAACACCAACTACGGGCAGACAATGTAAGTATGAGTGAGTGTGTGTGTGTGTGTGTGTGAGAGAGAGAGAGAGAGAGAGAGGGAGAGAGGGTTACTTCCTCCTTGTAGAAGCATGTATATTTTAGACTCATAGTGAAGTTGAGGGTGCTTGGTCTTCACAGATTCCTGTTATCAAAGTAACAGCAACAAAATTCGTAAGAATATGAACATCCTAGTCCCCTACAAAATCCTAAGCTTCAAAACAGAGATTACTTGTGAAGTATCAAAAGATAAAGGTAAGCAAATCTAGGCCATCTAGTCCCAATTTTGAATAAAAGAACTGCAATTAGTCTATGTAAAAATTTTAATCTACTCAACATACAAATTACATAAAAATTTCCACTATAGATGACAGAGATCAATGCATCAAATATCAAGTTTAGCCTAATATTTTTACCCAACACAACACCAGTAACTTTACCACAAAAGAAGTTCTAAATATTAAATAACTAGACTAAAAAAAGGAAAAAACAGATAGCAAAAGTGAACCTACCAGCTTGATAGCCACTTCTTCTCCGTTCTGTATATTGACACCTGGATCAGTCCAGAAAAACATATGGTCAGTAAAATTGAGCTAGCATGAGAATCAAAAAAGAGAAAATATAAATTATAAGGGAAAAATAAAAGAAGATAAAGCAACCCAGCTTAGACAAAAATTTAATGAGGCGTACCTAGATAAAGCTCACCAAAAGAGCCGCTCCCAATTTTCCTCCCCAGCTTAAACTTACCACCAACCACATGATCCATACTGATTCAATTGTCAATAATAATCCCTTCCAATAAAGATTTCTATCAATACCCCCAGCAGTTAAAAGCTCTTTGGCACTGGAATTATCACCCGATTCCACTCAACCAAACGACCGCGGGTAGGGGGAGGAGAAATGCTAAGAATCCAGCCGAAAATTAACCCCAATTGTTCACCAAAAATGCCACCACCGAGGGTGTCGGATCCAAGAACATCGATTCAATATCGAAACTACAATCGAGAATTACAAAACAAAAAAAAAACCTAGAAATTGTCGATCAAGAAAATTCAACTACATCCTTCAACGAATACGAGCCCTAAATCTTCAAAAATTGATGTCGGTGATTCCAAACCCTAATTCGACTATCGTCATTGGTCGAACAATAAAATATAATCAATGTATGAACCTATATATGTGTACCTAAACATAAATAGGAATTAAATCTGTTTTTTTTTTCCTTCTACTTTGAAATTAACGAATGAAAGAATGACGAAGAAATTAGGGGGACAAACAAGCGAGAATTGAGGGATCAGAGTCGGGGAGAGACAGAGATATAGAGATTAAAAAAGAGTAATCTGTTTATTCGTACAAAAAAAAAAAAGGACGTGTGTGTGTGTGTGTGTGTGTGGAAAAGCAATGCGCGGTGTGTGAGAGAGAGAGAAAGTAAGAGCGAGAGAAAAGAGAGAGGTCGATTGATTAGAGAGGTTCGTGAGGGTGGGGATTGGGAGAACAAGGGGAAAGCAGGTGGCGCTGATATTTTTTTGTTTTTTTGTACTTTTCTTTTCACTCCTCCATGATTATATCTCTATTGCTTTCTTATGTTTCTTTTTTCCCTTCACTTAGGGTAAACCTTACGAGTAATGTTGAACTGTTTCTGATGCCCTTAAAAAAATTGTGAATAATAAAATTTAGAATATTTTTTCTATGTTCTTGAATTATGAATAATAAAATGAATCGAAAGAAATGATTAAGCTGTTTTTAGTAGGATTAGACGTTAGCATGTGGTGATGTGGTGTTTTTGGGAACAAACGTACATGATTTTAAGAAATTAATTTTCCAGCCCTACCTAAAGCAGTAATGATCTCCTTCATAATAGTACATATGTACATTTATTATCCTCTTTTATATTTAATATATTTTGACGATCTAATTTTACTGTCGCGCAGTACTAGTAAAACTTTGAAAGCCGTTGAGGCACTACTTGAAAAAACCCTACAACATATTGACTAAACACTAGGTGTGATAATAAGAGAATATTGCTTAAACCATGAAAAGAGATAGAGGAATTAGGATTTTTAGTTTTGGTTTTTTTTTTCCCAAACGATAACATGATTTTAGTTTTAGTTTTGGTTTCAAACAATAAAATATAGAGTCCATATGACTGTAGATGTATGCTGGGGGTATTTTTAAAATTTTATTAAGATCTTTTTAAAATCTTTTTTTTTTTTCTTCTCTACCATAACCACCTAACATCTCCTTAGTCACCAGACAATAGCACTGCCCCACTCATTTTTACTCCCCTCCTCCCTTTTCCTTGGTCACGACTATCAATCTAGTTGTGAGCAGGGAGCTTGAGTGAAGGAAGAAGAAGAGGAAGAGAGAAAGAAATGGGAAAATAGTAGATGGTGGTGGGGCTAGTGAAGGCATCGATGGTGGTACTAGAGAGAGGAAGAAGGAGCAGTGATGATGGTGAACGAGAAGACTGAAGAGAAGAGAAAAGAGAGATGATGGTGATAGTGGTGGATAGAGGAAAAAAGAGTTTACGGTTTTCTTTTTAAATGTTTTTTAGTGTTTTGTTAGGTATATCTTTTTTCTTTTTTTGATGAGTTTTCTTAGTTATATCTAAGATTCCATTTTAAGTGTTATGGGATGTATTATTGTAGCGTTTTATGTGAAAAATGATATTTTTTTTTAAAAAAACTCCCGATCCAAACAACTTCAAGAATGTGGGAGTTGGTGGCTCGAAAGACTGCTAGATTTGCTTTGCCATTCAATCATCCTTTTCCCCAGATCCAATCAAATTAGAACTATTAAACGAATTGAACTGTTCGTTAGCTTAGCTCATTTAGACTCATTCGTGTTTAATAACGGCTCGTTCGAAATTTTATATGAGACGAGTTCAAACAAATATTTTGGCTCGATGAGCAATTAAACGAACAAAAGCTCATTTGCAAATTTAAACAATTGTTTTGCGAACATGAGCCTAATTATTATTTCACAAAACTTATAGTTAATATTGTATTCCTAATTTTAGGTTTAATTGTTCGCAAACATGGGTCTAATTATTCGCGAATGGTTCGTTAATGTTAAATGAGTCGAATTCAAGCTCGAACTTAAACTAGGATTTTGCTTAACAAACCAAATATGAACACCGATTTGGAACTCCAATATTGTTGAACAAACACGAGTTTTGTTCGAGTAACTTAATGAACAGAGTTCAAATATGAGATACTAGACTCGATTCGACTCGTTTACAATTCTATCTTAATTTGTCTCCTTTCCAAATTACCCCTAAAAAGGTTTTTAGCTCACAATTTGTTTTTGTTCAACACGCCGTTATCGATGATTTCTTATTTTTCTTAATATTTATTCCTTATTTAAGTGATATTTGTATGCATTGAGATAAGTAAATGTTTTTAAAACTTAGGCATTTAATTCAGTAAAATATCATATTTTCATTGCTCTCATGTCTACATGATATATTTTAAAATTGTTATAAAACATAATTATTTTTTATTTTTTAATCATAATCAAACACGATCATTTTTTAATTATGAATTAATAGAATTAACAGTTTATCGGATACAATTAAGAAAGATAGAAAGAAAAAAAAAAAAGACAACGTGTATTTTTTTTTGGAACCTATGAACCTTTGGCTTTAAAAAAAAAAAGGGAAAGAACCTATGAAACTTTGACTTCTCTCTCTATTTTTGATTTGATTTAATAGGAGATATTGAGCTTTTATAGGGAAGGGTCAGCGTTGAGCCAGGATCTTCTGGCTGCCTTTGCCCAGCGAATATCCACATTTTTATAACTGAAGTGGTCCGGGAAACAAATGGAATCGCATTTCAGCCCAAACTTTCTGATTGGGCAAATTAAACAGAAGCCATAAGTCATTGGAAAATTTGCCCATTCCAACTTTGAAGGAAAGTCACCTATTATTTGGTAATTATAATTTGAGCACAAATGTTTGGGGATTAGCGAAATATCTCAACAACCGAAGCCCGAGTTTGTTACTATATAAGTCAAGAGGTTAACTTATTTAATTTTCTATCTTTTGTTTGGTGGTTAAGATATTTGGTTGAGTTTTATCTTGATCCGATCGGGAGTAAGGGCCTCAACGACGAAGTATGCCGGCCGGTCCATCGTTCTCCCATAATTCGTTGGTTCTCATCAAATGGCAAAGATTGTGCGAAGTATAAGTCGGTGATCTACTGACCAGCTCTCACAAGTTCCAGTTCAAGAATTTAAGATTCTGAGACGAGACAATGACCATGGCAGGATTCTAAACTCTAAGGCAGCGTATAACAACTAATTTATAACTTTTGTAGAATGCACATACTGAGCTATCTAGAAGCAGGAGAAGTCCATGCAGAAACTGAATACAAGCTCGCATCTTTCCAACCTATCCTAAGAGTTCCATCTCCTTGCACGAGGCTATAACCGTGAGACGGAGGGAACATGTTGAGTATCAGTTGTGCTTGGGCCATGGAGTTGGTACTCATGGGCATCTGCATGAAGCCATTTTTCGGGAGTTCACTTCTCCAATGCCTGAATTTATCCTCTCCGCTTCTGGCTGGTCCTCCAATGGCCAAAATATTGTTAATTTCCCTATACAGCAGGCCGTGTTCGATGCGATGGCGGCTCGGGTCATCGCTTTGCAAGTAAGCTCCGAGAGAGTCAAAAAGGGTGGAGTAGTAGTGAAGCGAACCGACGAATCGGTCCAAGAAGGAACCAGCATGGGCTATTTCTTGCTCGACTAGCGTAATCACCCTCGGTGATAACTGTTGGAGGAGTCTCATTGTTTTCCAATCGGGCCCCGTGGCATCGTACAAGGAATGTTGTAGCCAATGCACGGCAACAGCTTCTCCTCTTCGAATTTGAAACATCGAGACATCAACATCTCCGAATTTCCTTGCAATCGGATGGAACTCGAAGGACATTCCCAGGCGTTTTGCGAAATTAGAGAGTTGCTTCCCAGTCTCGATCAGAAGCTCCATTGAAGTCCCCATCCCGGTCATCCTAACGTGCGGAGGGCCCTCCATTCTCGTCGCGAGGATGTGAAATAGAGCCGGCCATTGCAAGCCTTGCATGATGTCAAGATCAATAATATGAACACCGTCGCGACGGTGGAATGCCTCGAGGATTGATTGGTTAGAAGTGAAATGTGCGAACTTGACGAAGGGTGCAATGTTGTTGAAGACTTGGAAAGAGCCATGTATACTTTTGTAGTTGATCAAGGGCGAGCACATCCCCAGCCAAGAGTTGACAACCCTACTAGCCATGGCCTTGGCAAAATAAGCCACTACTCTTTCAGCACAAGAAGGCCCGTAAGGGGTGGCCATTTGCGTTAGCTCAAGCAACATTCTATGGGCTTCAGCGATATTATCAACCGATATAGCAACCGCGCACTCCAACAGCAGTGTCATTAAGTTCAAGCTTTGGTCGTCTGATCCTTTAGCCGTTGATCCTCCTTTGGCGTCGTTGCTGAAGTTAGTGATTTGGTCCCCAAGCTCAGCAAACCACTGATGTTGCTGTCCGGCGCTTTCAGTGGGATTTCTCCTAGCGGACTTTGCAGGTCTCAATTCGCCCAACAGTGCCGGAACGATGTTGTTCTCAGAGGTCTGCAAGCTTTCCGACAATCCGGTTTCTGGCTGGTTTTCGACAAGTTGCTCGGTGACTTGCTGAACCCACTGAGGAAAATCACGATGATTTCGCTCTAGATGGTTGATGCCTCGATTGTCAATGATGGGTTTTGTGCAAGGGATGGAATTACTGCCGCCGCCAGGAAATCCAAGACTGGCGTAACTACTATCCCATTGTTCATGGGGTTGCATTATCTCAATAGCCCCACGATGAACTATGTCGAACCCTCCTTTGAACATTGACTTTGATGGTCAGTGTCAGGACGGTCGGAGGAGGTGGACAAGGAGGAAGCTAGGAGTAGTGGAGTGGAGACTGTGATTTCAAAAAGGGCAGCTAATTAATTTTATAGAATGATGCAGGCCATTTTTTTTTTTTTTTTTGGAAGGTAAAGTAGCATGGATGGGACGACCAATTGTAATAGTCACCCTCTAAGTGGGTAATCAGATGATTAGGACATTATTTATTGGATTAATAGGGTGGCCGGCATAGTCGGACAAACTAATGAAGATAAAAGCTAACCTCCAAAATGCACGTCAGTTTGGTAGTGACCTTACTTATTCACAAATGTTAATTTACACACAAGCTTGATATCTACAACATAAATCTTTACTTGGTCAGGTGTCCAAAGTGTAGTACAAAGGAAGTTAAATTACATAACATAATGTGGTAGAATTGCATTAAGATACCCTACCTGATTATAATTAAATCCTTTGCATATTTAAAATAGTTGTCACGCATTGCGGATTCAACTAATCA